CACGATTTCATTCAAATACAGGGGCGTAACTACCGGAGCTATGGGAACGTGTGATACTCCCTGCTACTGAACTCATAAGAGTCGACACTTTCTCTACTTCGAAGGCCTCGCTACGTCCCTGTTTCAAACACACATGCATACACCCCCTCTAAAAAACACGATTTCATCCGAGTTCTCTCTTTAAGACGGCGAATTACAGACCGATACCTATCTCATTGGTTTCGTAGCAAAACAAAAAAACTGGCTTGCAGTGAGCAAGCGACTACCCACCTAGGTAAGACGATAAGATATTTTTATCTCATCTTATCTATTTTTGTATTTCATCCTATAGGTTTGCTGCACGGAGTTGGACAGACCTTTATATTAGCTTCTTTTTATTTGTATATGTCGTGCCGAAGTTAAGATGCAGCTAATGTAAAACTTGAGCAGAAAATAGATTTGTACGAATCATGCATGATGCGGGTGTGGGTGTGTTCAAGAGAATATTCAGATCCACACACATCCACACCCTGAAAGGAACGACGTGTCACAACAAACGATGCTCAATCGAGGTTCACTAATCGGGCTCGTATTTTGACAGTAGATAGAAATAAGTGAGATAAGAGTAACTTGAAAGTTTTAGCTCAAATCAATTCACTGTTCAAGAGATATCGCTGTCACAAGCACAAAGAGGAACTCTCGGGACTTATTTTTTGGCATTTATTTTTTCTACAGTTTTTATTAGGAGTTATTAATTATATGAGTATTTCAGCGCACCCACACTGCAGGTATGTATGTACATACATTTCTGAGGTTCTGTTTGAAGTAATGGTAATCTTTTTTATCGATTAAAAGATACAGACATTGCTTGTTCAATATTTACTCCTATTATGACTGTGTCCCTTCACCATCGTTTTCAACAACTTTTTTCATAAGTTTCTTGATCAATTCTTATACATTGCTTTATATCTAATTCAGTAAAATAACCATTACTGACTATATGATACCCATATTCATCGAACTCCAACTAAAAAGAATACAGTTGTTCACGAGTATATTCCCATTTTGTAGATACTAATAATTATATAATATTGTTGAAATCGCTATTTTAGCGTCTTAAGTTAATCAAGTTTCATTATATCAGTCGTTATTATAGAAATCATCTTTGTCATCGTCATCGTTAATCATACAATCTCGCATTTCATTTATACTAACGTATACAATGAATACCAGTTCGATTTCTTATTGATCACATTTGAGTTTCTTTAAGACCTTTATATCGAGCATAAACTATTTCATCTTCATTTAAACAATGTACGATTTTGAAATCAAGGAGTTTCTGTAGAATTCTACATAAGCTTATAATTCAGAGCAATCATAGCCCTAAGGAAATTCAAACAATTCTGGTAAAAGAAGAAAACGAATAGAATTATATTGAATTGCTGCATTTGTTGGATTTGCTTGAGTTTCTTGACTTTTTACACAGTCCGGTCGCTTAGGATGAGCACGTCCTCCTCTAGCATAGTGAAATGGAATTCTGTGGAATTACCAGATTTGTTTGAATTCCCTCTCTAAGTAATTCTAGTTGTCATTGAATTCTTTGAGAGTGTGGGCATGGTTGTTACCATTCTGTTTAACCACACCCAAATCCACACCCGTACCCATACCCTCACTTTCATCGAAGTAAGAATATCACTCACACTCTAGTGACTGATTATAAACGCATCCTCTTCAACGCTTTTCCGTCTGTACAAATGTTAGTGCTCTCTTTCGAACGATGCACGCGTGACACCAGTGCAAAAAGAGCTAGCAAGACCATCCGAGATAGTAAAAACAGTTTCGACTACTTTGATGTCGTCTTGATCGAGTCGATTCCAAACGGATACTCGAAAATTAGTGAACTTTATATGCGGTCCGGAAACGGCACAATGTCAGATGGTTTCGATATCTTCGACGATCGTGTACGCTCCATCTGCATTGTTCTTTGTATCTTCTGATGTGACAGCAATGACGACAAAGAATTGTTCGATCCTCACCACGATGCACTGTAAGTCTGTACTTGTCTAATTTCAGCCAGCACAGTTTGTAGCCCATTTCTTCTCGCCATTGAAAACATAATGTTTCCCATCCAAATAGGCGGTGTTGAATGCCGTAGAGGTCGTCCAATTGGTAGAACTACCGAGTTGAGAAAAAACGAAGCCCGTCAAAGGGGCACTTTGCTTGCGAACGAACGGATCAAGAAGATGTTCAGGTTCGGTCGCATAGCATTTTTCGAAAATCAATGCTCCGTTGATTATTGCACCTCCACTTCTTCCCAATGGGAATGGAATCTAATCTTGAATCAAACCGGTTTGCGCTGCTTTCGCGTAGATTGACTTGATCGAAAGAAATCGCTCATACGGAGTTGGTAAATCTTGATAAAGCAGGTGAGCATTCAGGAAATCTTCTTGTGCAAAGATCCGCACAAATATCTGAAGTATCTTTTGCTCTGATGAAAGAGTAAAATCAATTATGGCAATAAAGGAGTCTTTCTGTGAACTAATACGATGATTCTCTACTTGCTGCTCGGACCCAATGTATATATATAACGCAGAAGAAATGAATCGCTCGACACAGCGAAGCTACACAGGTGAATGAATTGTGAAAGAAAACGACAAGTAGTGATAGCTGTGAAGCGCACAAGAAAATGACTATACCAGAAATTTATGTTAATGAAATATATTTAGATAAATAAACTTATAGATAATTTACTAATAATCAGAAGAACATGATAAGATTTTAGATAGTAACTCATTATTGTGAATATCCAAAAAAGTTTTTTTAACGAATTCCTATAGGATTTTTCAAAGCTGTTCAACTACTATTATTGCTTTCTAGAAAAATGTGTTGACATGTTAACACTCGTGATGGATATTTCACTTGTTTCTTTATCATCATTATTTAAATATGAGAGATTAGCAAGTTTAGTTCGTGACCAAGAATTGAGGGTGAGAATGTGTATTTTTGTTCTTTATACCCTCATCTTCAAAATAGAACAAACAGATGTGGCTACTGAATATAGTGTCTAGCAATTTGAAGTAATTTGATAGCACTTGCTAAAAATTAAACCAGTGACGGTATATATGCTTTTGTCAGTTTTCGGCCTTATCATAATGTTGCATTAGCCAACTTGAAAAAACAAAATGAATTTATATTAAGTAGATCTTGCTTTTAAAGATGTATTTGCTTCTACAAAGAAGAACAGACAGAAAGGATCGTTCGTATCATCCACTCATTTCTATTCTCTCAAATACAAAGCAAACAGACGCTAAGTGACGAAAACATGTTTTTCTTACGCATGCACTACGGTAAAGAAGAAAAATGAAGAAATAGCTACACACACACACACACACACTTGTTAATAAGAAACAATAAACTCGATTCATTAATCTTCATTATAAAAATTCGGGGAAGATGCACACTGGAGAACCACACTTGTTGGGGCAACATTTTTCAACATCCGAACAATCATTGTCGACGTCACACATGTGTCCATCACACAGGCCCCAATCGGGATTATCTTGTTCGGAATCAGACGATGGACATTTGCCCGCTTTCTGCACATTGTCTTTAGGTACAATACAATGATGACCACATGGTTGTTCTATACGAAAGCAACATTTTTTGCCACTTCCACATTCATCCTTGTCGGGTGAACATGTAGATTCGCACTTCTCCGGCGGGCGAATAAATCCATAGCCAGGACAGACCTTGTCAGCAGTAGCAAAAGCGATAATAACCAGTAGTGAAACAAGCAATGGAAGGGAAGCCATTGTGCAAATATAACAAGTCTGAAGTGAATGAAGACTGACGAAAAGAAACCGACACACTGTTTTTGTTAAGCAATTTATTATCAAAAAACAGAGGAGAACTACAACAGAAAGAAAAAAGAAAAAAACCGAGAAATCAGAGTAAATATCCAACAGATGGACATCATTCTCACTATGGTGCTAATCACCATGCACTTATATTCGACCCTGGATGTCAATAACACTGTGATCCTATTGACTTTTCTTTTTGAGTGCTAATTATGTAGTACATATTACAATGGAAGAAAAACGTATGTGATAATAATACAGTCAGTTACCCTAAGAACGACACAGAAAAATTCATTCGTCTTGAGGGTGTGAGTGTTGGCGAAAAGAAGATCGACACCTACACCCACCCATCCACACCCACACCCTTTTATCATCCAACTGACATATTTCTTGGAAATATCGATGGCTTAATCTACATTACTGATTATTTCAATAACAAAATTCAAAAATAGCATGTAAATATCACAACTCGTATCACTCTTACAAGAAGTTCAAATGAAACAGCAAGTAGTACTCCATACCTTATGAATGAGACCTTTATTTTAGCAATTGATGATGAAGAAAAGTACTCGTACGCATTGGACGCTAAATTTTCTTTTCTATTAAAACATTTGTTTTATCATTTATCTATGATATCAAAAAAACATTTAATTTGTCTGCTTATGTCATTATGTTGTGACTTAATGTTTTTAAATTGAACAAATTACTTCAAAAATGAAACAAGTAATATGGATAGTTTAACTTTGAAAATATGCTGCAAAAACGATGATAAACAATAAATATACTTTTAAGAAAAAGAAACAACTGTCTAAATAAAAAAATCAGAAGAGTATTTGATATTGAAGTATTAGTCATGAAAAAGTTTTAATGAAAATGAAATTGAGTTTTACTAAAGAATGATAAAATTAATGTTTTTGTAAAAAAAAGAAATACGCAAGTACCGACACCCACACTCTCAATGAGGACGTTATTTTTGTTTTTGTTTATTGCTCTCTACGAGAAATTCATGAACAAAGAATAGAAAAAATAAATTATTTATTTTTTTCAAAAAAACTATAGAACAAAAAAACTTTGTTTCATACAAAGATTTGACGAGATATTTATTAATCATGAATAAAAAATAGAGATACATCTACTTTAATTTACAATAATACAGTTTTATTATTATACTCTATAATAATTGACACAATTTGCAGTTCTAATAGTCAATATGTTTGAACCAAATAAAACAGCATTATGAACTTTTGGTTCGTATGAACGCTTTGTCTTTACTTTTCCATCTTTACTAACATGTAAAAGATGTGAACTACTATGATCGATTACAAGCCATTCGTCATATTTGAGTGAACAAACACGATATACCTGTTGCCCAATATTAGACGTTGTATCAAATGGTAGTAACCAGAGTTTTTCGAGTGTTGATGAAGATCGAAGTTCTATACGCTTTTGTTTATTGTATTTCTGTGATATTATCAAAGCAAGTGTTCCATTGTTATAAGCAATATTATGAATAAGTTCATCGTAATTACAAGTTTGAGGATATTTCCATTGTTTGATGAAATGAAACGACGATAAAAGATTGAATTGAAAAATATCAGAAGTATAATCATTCGTGGCTAGAAATAGAGATGTATCTGAGCATGTACAAGACAGCCATGGTTTCTTCTCGATTGTTTGAATGCATTTAATTGATGTTAGATTTTCGTCAATTAGAAAAACTTCATTTTTGCTTGTTATGATAATAAAACTATTTATAGTCGATGACCAACACATATCATGAATGTGACCATATTCCCATGGAATTTGTTTTAAAAGAGTCAATTCTTTATTAAATAGACATAAATTTGGATATTGATCTAATAGTAAAAATTGATTGTTGCTAGCTAGTACAGGCGAATCATCATTGGGACAATTGATTGATCGATAAGGAGACGAAAGATTTAATATATCAAGTTCATTTGATGTGAATTCTTCAATATAAACTAAATTTTGATTAATCATTAAAGGATGAACATCAACTATAATGCCATTCTCTTCGAATTGGTTAACATCACGTTTGATATCATTAATAGTTGCTTTCAATGAAAAAATATCGTCATGCGTAGCTTCTTGTTCTTGAATAAGTTCATTTGTTTTTAATTTCAATTGATGAATTTTTTTTCGTTTTTGTCCAGTTTGTTGAATACAATGTTGTTGAAGTTCTTGACATTTTTCTTCATATAAACGATCGATTATATTATAACAATCATGACGCCATTTATCCAATTTTTGACGACCTTTATCAATAATTTCATCTACATTTAATCCCGATATCTGGTTATGTAGAGTATTAATATCATCAACAAGAGGATTTAATTGAGAATGGATCAAATCATTATGTTCTTTCAAATGATCAAGACAAAGATTCTTGCTGCAACAATGACATAATGCTCGTGATTTACGTTTGCATGTGTTGATGGCACACGATGAAGACATTATTTTATCGAAATAGTGAGTTCATTTTACCAGGAGCTATGAATATATATATATATAATGTTCTATGTAAGCTAAAAATCAGTGAGGACGTCCGACATGATTAGTCGGATATATACATTACCCATCACATCAAGTATGAATTGTCATACCTATCCGTCATGATTGATTGTCTTTATGAGAAATGTCCTTCAACTATGTTTGGACTAGTCCAGAACATCTTTATATTCATCATGTCTAGTTCGTTTTATCTATTCATTCCATTGTTCAGATGACTCAGCGTGACACAAAAGCGAGAAAAAGAAGATGAAAAATGGATTCGAGTGTATGATGCGACAATATCTGATGCTTGGCAGCAAACTATCAACTAACTACTGATTAAGATGAATTTAAACAATTCAAATAGTATAGTGACGCTTAGTTATTCTATATGTAATTAAAAGTGGCCGAAGAAAAGCAAGTTGATTAGTCTAGAATCATAGATGGGCAAACTATTTTCTCAATTCATTTGCAAAATCCTACTGTAAATTTTTTCACATAAAGACTATGACTGCAAATAAAAAGTGATCTAATTCAAAAATTTTTGGCTACAAAATTATATATTTGATTAAAGTGTTCCTATATTATATAAACTGCATTGCTTTTCTAAAATCAATGACTTGATTTATCCTGCAAGCCATTGCTTTTATACAATCAATATTTTGCCTCACGAGGTATAAAATCCAAACTAAATATGTCTATTTGTAGCTTGAACATCTTTGAACTTGTCGATATTTGAATGAAAATGATACTTTTTTATGTGAGAAAAATTATCTAAGATTTTTTTAATGACTTGAGAATATCTTAATCCTAGTCTACAATAGTCTAAAATCTTTAAACAAATCATTTTGTTTCGACTGAATTATCCGAACAAGTCATTTAGACTGGTTCGTATTCGCAGTAAACAGAAGTAGATTGTGATATAAAGAATTTTTGAGCATTTATACCATGTTTTACAATAACTAAACAATAATTAGATGCTTTATGAATATTGATTGAATAGTAGAATAACAATCATTTCGCTACACTGTTTTAACTAAAAATCAACTGATATAAGGAAGAGAAAATAAAAAAAAGACACTTTAAAATTGTGCGTATTCTTGAAACTCACCTTTATTGAAGGATCAATACTAAAAAGCATATAATATCATGAGGAAGCATGTTTTTCTCTTCATGATTGACGGTTAAATGTGATTTACCGCATCAAAATTATGGAAATAGTAACAACTATGAAAATTACATCAATATACCTGTAAGTTGTTATTGCTCTTGTTGTTATTTCCCGATTAAAATGATAAAAAGAAGTGTAGGTGAAAATTAAAGATAAATGTCAAGGGTTGATTTCATATTATCCATGTTTTAATATATTTGCACGTATTGTCTTCACATTTTTTGTAATTTTGTCTATCTCATATCAAAAGATGTGTGGATCGTCTCGTCAACGAGTAAAGATTTGTATTTCTTTATACGAAAAGTATGAAATTATATTGAAGTAGAAATAAATACATGAAAATATAAAGTATCCTTGTTACTTTTTAACTAGAGTTGTCTATCTATGTCGTTTAAAATGGATTAGATCGTAAAGTATTAGAAATAATTTGAATATGTTTATATGATCATTTTATTTTATTACAAGTATGAATTCTTTTAATTGAAAATGTGTTCAAAGTACATAATATTCGTTCATTTTCAATTTTAAATTATAATAGGATAGATTTTTTTAAAGAAATGATGACTAATAGTGTATTAATTTATCATAGTCATCATATGTCAAGGGTGTGGGTGTGAGTGTCTGTTTTCTTTTCATCAAAACTCACACCCACATCCTGAGTGCATATTGGTGAGTCGGTATGCATGATTGTATGTATACGCCTCATCAGACATCGAAAAATATACGGAAAATTCACAATTATAGTGATTCAGAAAACAGAAACATAGAAAGTTGTGCAACTAGAAGAAGCGATGTTTCCTTCATCAAGATGCAAATGTATCGAAGATTCAGCGAAAAAAATTTGATTGAGATATAATTGATCGTTTTTATATTTCTCGAAAAGGCAGTTTCGTATCTAAAAGTATGAAGTTTAAATCCAGTAAGAAATATAGCGACGAGCAGAATCCGCCAATTTTATGACTTCATCAACTAATAGTAATGTCTGCGTTCTTGCAAGAAAAAGTCTGCAAAACGATACATACAGCTAGCAGGGAAGTAACGCAATATGTAAATACTGACAGCATTGACATATGCAAGTAATACACTGTTGTCATTGAGAGTAAATATATGTCACGACATTACCTTCCGTCGCAATAAACATGGTTGCATTCACTCGAACAGTTTCTTTAATAAGCACGAAACAACACAAATGTAGAGGAGTTAAGTAATAGTGAATATGATGAATAGAACCAGTGGTGGTGACACGTTAATATTCGTTCGGATTTACATCTTTTCACGTTACATCTATCTTGCTGTCTTTGGGCTCGGTCTCGTTGGAAATACGCTCAATTTGATTGTCTTCTTGCGTAAAACATTTCGTTCTAATTCATGTTCGATCTATTTTATTGCTTATTCTCTCAACAACTATCTGATTCTCACTATTGGTCTACTTGTTCGATCGCTTACCAACGGTTTTCTTCTACCGCTGGAAAATCAGATATTGATTTGGTGTAAGATTCGTCGCTATTTGACTCATGTCAACTATCTTCTTTCATCATTTTTACTCACAATGGCCTCCATCAATCGATATGCTCGTGTTCGTCAGGCTCAACTCACCAATAATAATCATTGTTATATGATCCTGTGTGAACATCGAACAACATACATAATAGTTGCTTTACTCATTGTCTTTTGTCTCCTTATCAATTTACATATTCCATTCCTGTTCGAAGTCGATCGTGGCGTATGCTATGCGCGACGCGGTCTTTATCGTTTTCTTTTTGATATCTTCTTTTTTATTTTCTACGGGTTATGTCCTATTATAATTATGGCTATTATCAACGTGGCTACCGTTATTGAGATACGTCACATTCGACGCCTCGTTCATCCCACTGTATCTCGCGAAGAGTTTTATTTTATTGGTGTTGTCATCACTCATAGTATTTTCAATGCAGTTCTCACACTCCCTTACATCATCAATAAGTTTGTTTACTACATATTTCAGTCGGCGTCACCGACAGAGACAGCCCAACTAGTGGGCACCATTGTTCATTTAGCTTTCTTCATGAATCATGGTGTTTCGTTTTTTCTCTATACTCTGACTACAACAACCTTTCGTCGTGAACTTATTCGAGCTTTTAGTGACTTCATGGCAAAGATGAATATCAAAAGTGTCTGTGCGGATCGACAACAATTAAATATCGACAGAACCAAACGACGCGACACACTTATTTCTATTCTTTCTATAATGTTTTCTTCTCGGAGACGAAGTAATCAGGCTAGCTGATTTTTCGCTCTGTTGTTATGCCAATATTTACTTCGACGATACGACGAAAGCAATCACCTCTTATCTCACAGATTATTGAGACAAATGAAAAAAATTCATTTCATTCTCATTCACTAATAGCTCACGGCAAACTCATTACTTACTCAAACAGATTTCGTAGCATTTTAACTTCTCGTCTCTTTTGGAGATGTGAGTGAGTGAGGACATGAGTTAATGTAAGTCGAATTCACATCCACAAACACAATGTCTGAACTCTTTATGATTTCCATAGCTTTCTCGTGTTCAGAAACAATGTAATTATTACTAAGATAAAGTCATACAAATAAACTAGAGTCTGAGTTCATATCGAAATCGTTTTAAAATAGAGGATAAAACTCGATGAAAACTTAAAAAACTGTTTCAATCGAAAGAAAAATGAAAAGATTCGATTTTAAATGGATTTTTGACCCAACAAGTACAACGATGATTGACAACAACATGGAATTTTATTAAAAGATAGCATACTCAATCGGTGTTTGTTTCTGATTATCTTGTCAAAATTGTTTTGCTTGGGACCTTTAGTCATTTTTTTATATAGCTCTTTCTTACAATTATCGGTGAAAAAAAGAATGCTCTCCTTCAAAGGGCAGGATGACGTATATGTAACATTTATACATTATTGTGTTTTACTTCCGTTTGACGTTCGATAAACAACCAGGAAAAAAAATATATAATTCAGCCAGTAGGGTGTGAGTGTTGATGCATGAGTGTGGGTGTAGGTTCATTATTTCTAATCCACAGCCACGCCGACCCTCACATTCACACTCACACCAATACTCTACACCCCACACCTCACATCCACACATTCCACCCACACCCAACTATGAAAACAGGTCTATTTTCTAGGGATGTCTAACATGAGCATTTATTTGTTTTATTTTAAGAAAGCAATCAATTTTTCTTTAAAGGTTTTAAGGTTCTACACTTGAATAGTCAACATATTATAATAAATTACTGACCAAAACAGGAAGATAAAATACGATTTCGAACTCAGTCATTAATTTTTATTTCGAACTCCAAGCTTTCAGCTAATCTATTTATGATAATCTAACCTAACTTTTTAAAGAACAAGTAGCTCACGTCATATCTATATACTTCATAGTTAGTATAGCTATCCAACTTGTCTAACAAAAATTTGGTGTTTAAAAATTTTGTACGGAAACAACTATTTTCTCTTGTTCTATTTAGCAGTTTTTGACAGTGGAAACTGTTTTTTTCTTTGAAATCTTACGAGTAAGGGAGCCCATATAAGCGCAGATAATCAGTACTAAATGCGAATCATATCTGTACGACATGTTAAGTTGATAACTGCAAGAAACGGAGAAATTACTCCTGACACCCTTTTTCTATTCGCTGTGGGGTATGGGGGATGAAAAGTAAGGAATGCAAATGTCTACCTCTCTACATTTCAACACTTCTTTTAAATCGTGTTTTACAAAAGAGAAAAAAAAGAGAAAAGGAAGAAAGAAAAAAAACAGGCGCTTGAGC